CTTGAGAAAGCAGCTAGAGCCTCTGAGTCTGCGTACAGCTGTTAGCTTGGCCAGGTGGCTCTAAGTGTTCTCCATGAACTGCCCCTACACTTGACGTCACAGGAAGGTTAGAACGAGCAGAGGGATCTCCATGCACCAGTCTGTTCTGCTGCAGGTTAGCACAGTAACCTCTTCAATGCCCTTCTGGGGTCTGAACAGGGCTGTTACAGAGCCCACCAGAAGTCTCAGCTTTTCCTCCAGTGCGTTTGTTTTGTGGCGTTTTATGCATTTCCTGGGCTCCCGCCCCCAGCATGCATTCTACTTTATGCCCTCAGCTAGTTGCCTGCAGCAACCATGTACCCCTTCCCTCCCACTAACAGCTCTAATGCATCTCCCTTATCAGCTTACTGTAGAACAGAATAACTCTTCCTCTCTGGTAAACTCTTCCAAGGAAACTAAACCACGCAGTTAAAAATCTTTGCCTCAGAGCAAGTGTGTTTTATATCAAGGGTTGCGCTTTGGGCGCCTTCCCTGTAATCCGCTGTATACAAGCCCCTGGGTGCGACTAGAGCTGGAATGCTGGTGACCATTTAACCTGTAGCGTGTACGGGAAACCAATGAAATGCAACCGTCTGTACTAAAAGTTTGCAACTGACTGCTTAGTGTTTGTTTTCAAAGTTCACCCCTGGGTTTATTCTCTCCTCTAGAATCAAGAGCAAACACTTGCAATAACATTGCCAGTGTGTTCTCCCACCATGAGGTTTGATTTGTGGGATCTTTTTGTAATAGGAGAATGCTCAGGCCCTCTAAATCTGTTTTACAAAATCTGTTTGTACTCGTCTTTCTATCAATAAAGAGTGGCAGCTACAGACCGACTTGGTGCCATTAGGCCCTCTGACTACTACTGTTTGATTTACACACCTTCAAAACCTCTGGAAAGAGTTAGCATCTGGATATCTGTCAAGATTAAAAACCAAAAGCATCATCTGCTCCCGTGGTTCTCAACCTGTTTTAGACACCAGACATGCCTCAGAAAGTGGAAGGTCTTAGAGTTCTTGGTTCTCTGACTACAGAAACACAGAACAATTCTTCTGTTTTAAAGAACTTCAAAGCCCACAACAGGTCAGAATGTTTCTGACACTCTGGGTTCCTACTGGAAATCCATTTATCTTGCCAGTCACGTGTACGTGACTGCACACCTAACAATGCTGACATAGTGCTGCTGCAGTTGAGAACTGCTGATTTGGCTGGCAGGAAAGAGCATGCAAGTGAAGTGTAAGAGAATCTAGTCTTGTCACTGTATTTCGTGCACAGCAGCCAAACACATCCATTGACAGGGAGGTAAACAATGAACCTTTTCTGTCAACCAGTCTGTAAAGAACTTCTTTGCCTCAAAAGAGCATCTAGGCTCTGTAGGCATTGCTGCTGGGGTTTGGGCATTACTCTGCACAGCAGCATCCAGATTAGCCTCCAGAAAAAATGAAAGGGCACCAATGGCCAGAAGCAAGCCCCTATGCACAAAACAGTTCATTTCAGAAGTTGGAGCATCTTAAAAAATAACTATTTACAGCCAAATTAAATAGAAAGATCGGTCCATGGTGCTAACAAGCAATACCCCCAAGAACAGATTAATGGCACCCTAGCATTCCCACTATAAATAATGAATGAAAGCTGCCTATTCTGTTCCTGTTACATCCATCTTAATCCACTGAGCTTGTTCACTGCCCTACAGATAGAGTTCAGACTGCAGTTGTTCTAAGAAAGGAAGCCAACAGTCCGTAAGGGATAGAGTCTAATATCTGCAGCTCAGGAAACTTCTGAAACTCAGCACAGGAATTAACTCTTGCTCAAAGAGGTACCTTCCAAAATGGATCTTCTTATGATGCATAAAGTGCAGCAAAAGTTTGTCCTGCTCATCTCCACTTGAAAAAGCAGGGCTTGGCTAGACTTTATGCAAAACATGGCATCCTGAGACACTGCTTCAGTCTAAAAACCCCCCACTTTGCTTGACACAGATACCTGGCAACTTGGCAGAGTAAAAGGTTCTACAAGAGATCTGAACGGGGGAGGATTAGCCGCTTCAACACCAGAGGAGATGCAGCTGTGCAGTCCTGATATTCATAGGAACTAAATGAAGAGCCTTGAAAAACTACGGGATGTTGCTAACAAGGCTCTGGTCAGTGTCACAGCCCATTGACACATTGTGAGTCTTGCGTTCAGGGTTTTTTTTCCTTTTTATTTCAAAGCTGAAATGTCTCTCCAATTTGGGCAAACACATCCATCCGCACAAGGGTGCTTGGAGATATTACAATAGTCCAAGGGAAATGACACAAACCCTAGTTTGGTTCCTTACCAAAGTACAGCAGACCAAGTGCCAGCATGCAGGCTGGCATTCTTGTGTAATGAGTTCCGACAGGAAGATGACGGGCCTTATTAAACAAGGCCATGACACTGGACTCCTGAAGACACAGGCACACGGTGCCCAGCTTTCCCGACCCTGCAGGGCTCCGGCAGAGTTCAGTTTCTCAAGAAGGTTCCGACGTCAAGCCGTACTTCTGCTTCAGGATTTCGACTGTAGGAGCCAGAGCACTGCAGAAAGAAAGGCAGAGGGAGTGAGGACCAGAAAGGAGCTACCCTCGGGATGCGGGTGTGCACTCCAAGGGTGGGAGAATGCAAGGACAAGCTGAGCAGTCGCCTTCAGCTTGCAGCAAGAGAGATGGATGGCATTGTACTTTTAAGAACTTGCAAAAACGAAAGTTAGCAAGTCCTCCTCTTCTGAGCCCAGCTCCTAAATGGGTTCTCCACATTTAGGGGACGGAGATACAGACAGTTAAAGAAGTCTTTTTCTATGGACACAATCTGGGCTAATGCACTGTACAGAACTCAGGAAAACAAGCCCACCCTTAAACACATTTTGTATTTCACCTAAAGCACAAACTGCAGCCACACTCAGCAAAGGGGCTTACCAGCCTGGCCGAATAATAGTGTATTTCCCAGACACAGACAAATCAACCACTGTTGATCCCAGACGACATTCTGGACTCTGAGTGTCTCCAAGTGGACCGCCATCAATGACCAAGGATAACTGAGGCCAGAGGTCTTGGAATTCCTGAGAGAAGGAACAAAAACCACGTTCAACATCCAAAACTCATGATGGGCTTTTGACTTAGTTTTTAAGGAGACTCCATGAGCCAGGTGACAGTTTCTAGCATTAGGCGAGGAAATCTCATTGCTTTGCTTCTGAGCAGAACTCCATAACCAGACACTTGAGAACCCATGTGCGTGTGTAAGTGCTGTGAAATGAAGGAAGCCTTTATAGCCAGCCAGGGTTGGGACTGAAAGTGGCTTTGAGAGTCCATTAAGCCTTAAAACGTTGTCCACATTCATGACTGACTCATGCCTCCTGAATCTGGGGAGGCATCCGCAGAAACTGCAACGGCAGCAGCCCTGTCGGAGGGGCACCAGCCCTACCTACAGTGTCAGCGTTGGCCGTCAGCGGGGGCACCATCCCCGTCAGGGGAAGCACGTGCACCCCTGTGCACTCCCTGCCAGTTGTTTATGTCCGCGTTTATATGCAGCCTGTTCCAAGTCTCCTTTCTACAAGGAGCAGTAAGAGGAATACCAGGGCTCAGGAAAAGGCACCATCACTAGAAGGTCCTTGGTTCACTGCACAAGTAATCAAGCTTGTGCAAGCAATTTTCCTCAGTTCCAATCTGGGAGCCAAGCATAAAAGCTTTCTGCAGCATCAAAAGCCTTACCGAGACGGTGAGCGTGCTCGCCTGAGAGCTGACGTTAGCGCTCGTTAAGGCCAGGGGTCCTGGGCAAGCCTGTGCCAGCTCCCTGATGAACGTGTGGTTTGGAATGCGAACACCGACCAGCTACGAGAGAGAAGGGTAAATGTGTTTACAGCCAGTGATCAGAGCTCCAGATCAGATGTCTCTCTTGTTACATTGGCTAAAGGCCTCTTGGCTTACAGCCCCAGGCTGAAGGGGCAATGTCCCAGCACCTGCTGCGATGGGGCAAGGATATGAAGCCAAGAGCCTGCAGCACAGAGCTGGGCATATCAGAAACTGCACGTCCCACCGCAAACAATCACATGCAAGACATCATCGCGTGCCTCACTGACCAGGCAGAACCAGGCTCAAGGAAAAACCAAGCAGCACTGAGTGCACAGCAGATGCATGGCACACAGGAGCAGGAGTGGGAAAACCCCCTGCCTGTCAGACCGGAGATGCTGCTCATCCCAAAGACTTACCAATGTGAATGGGTTCAAGTCCTTGTTGAGTCCATCTGAGCGCTGCAGGACCAGCGTCACGGGTCCGGGGAGCAGGTCCCGTAGAAGCTCCTCTGGCACGTTGACGTGGCAGTACCTGCAAGGCAAAGGGGGATCAGACCTCAGGCTCCTAGTTAATGTCCGGACACAAGCTACCTCCAGATGCATTTCCAGGGCCACAAAGTGGAGAGGCACAGATCCCCCTCTCCCCCCCACAAATAAGGATGGTTTATCTGTACTGATGCTGCTGCATCCACCCTCATTTCAACACCCCGTACCTGGCCCCGCTCCCTTGTAACAGAACTGGGCTGCGTACAAATCCTCCACGCCGAGAAAGGCGCCTCGCTCACAACCAGCGACAGAACACAGCCCTTTCCCCGCATCACTAGTCTGCGGCCATCCAAAGTGATGGAAACGCAGCTAACTTTATCACTCCGGTCACAACTCTCTACACGCCTGACCCAGGAGGGGAGGCAGGGTCACGTCTCCTTTTGCAAGGTGCCGCTTACAACCCAACGTGAAGCTGACAGGAAAAGGCCCAGGCGGCAGCTTACTGACCCAGCAGATGCTCTCTAGGTTTCAGGCACCAGGCCCCCTTGTTAAACTGAGCCCCCCCCTTGACAAATGCACCACCGGGCTTTGGCTCGTTCCTTCGAGTGGAGAAAAGCAACAGAGCAACTCCGGGAGCTCAGGGATGGCCCCAGGGTGGAAAGCTCCCAAACGCTGTGGGGTGCGAGCAGGAATCTCCAGAGTGGTCTCGCCGACAGTGCAGTGCGCGGCCCCGCGGCACCTGGGGGAGGGGACCCACCGCCCCCCGGCCGCGCACCTGTAGATGTGCTCCACGCAGGACAGGCAGATGGCGAGAGGCTTGCTGCCGTCGCGGCCCTTCAGGCTGTAGACAGCGCGGACGGCACGCGAGTCCTGGGCCAGGCAGGCGACGCCGTAGATGGTGTCCGTGGGCAGCGCCACCAGCCCCCCCGCCTGCAGCGC